ATACAGACCGGCCGCTCACTGGCTGAGCGAGGAGCGGGGGCAGCACTGAGGGTTGCGATCCGTTGCCGGTCACGAAAAAAAAAGACAAAAAAAACCCACAAAAACATAGTCTCTTGATCTGTCAAGTTTATAATGGTTGCTCTAACCCATTATATTTTATACATGTTTATTGTCCAGGTATAGGTTAACATTGATGTACAGAATCATTTTATAGTTAGGTGCCAGGAAAACCAGGAAACACTAAGAACTTCACAGTGAAACTTTTTGGCTTTGACATTTGAGTTAACCTTTGAGGTAAACATGGTATATTGGAAAGAGCACAGGACCGGGAGTCAGAAGACCAGAGTGTGTCTCAAGTTGGGAAAGTTATGTTCCTATTCTGGACCTCCTACATAAGAATCTATTAACAGTTGTTATATCTGGGGAGGGGAGTGGGTTGCTGGAACACATAGGTGGGAGAGAGCAGATTTTTCACTTGAAGTCCTTTTGAAATTTGAACTTTATAGTATTTGTATTACCTAGTTTTTAAAAATAGTGAAAATTTTAAAGTAAAATAAGATAGCACTTTACAAACACAATGTAATCCTGTTTCTTTTTAAATACAATCTAGTTCTACTCAAGAGACAATTCTCCAACAAATTAACAGCACTGTAAACTCCAGTAATTTTGTCTAAACTCCATAATGCCTTAATCTTCCCTCAACTTTTCATGTTGATAAATTAGGATATCATAGTTTTTATTCAGCAGACATTTATTGAAAACCTACTTTATGCCAATAATTATTGCCAAATTGTTATTTGTAATGATTTTCTAGACATAGTCCCCACTCAGGACTGAAAGTTCTGTGAAGAATTTGACCTGAATGTGTTCCTGCCCTCAGGTCAGTGGTTCTCAACTTTAGGGGGCATAAGAATCACCTGAGGATCTTCTTTAAAAATGGAGATCCTAGGACTTTACTTCCAGAAATTCTGATTGAAGTAGGACTGGGATGAACCCAAGAATATGTGTTTTTAAAAACTTCCCCAGAGGATTCCAGTGCAGGTGCCAAGGTGGTGTCAGAGGAGTGCGTCTGTCAGAGTTAGGCAGTGGGATGCATTTTGTGTCAGTAGTTGCATGGGCTTGATGGAAAAAACCTTGGATGCCACTCACTAGTTGTATGACCTTGAGAAACTCATTTCACCTCACTTTTAGAACATGAGGAGATTGACTTGGATGACCTCTTCTAACTCCTGAATTTGAATTTATAAATTTCTATTTTAGTTATGCTCAGTTTTGATACCACACTCTATCAGCATCTGTTTTGTCTATAAAAATTTGCTGGGAATATGCTACATAAGGGCACTGGACTAGACTAGATGGATGCAAAGGAGATATAAGATGTGGATCCTGCCCAAAAAGGCCACGGTGTAATAGGACTTACAGTCTAGTGTAGGGCATAGACACACCTGACAGTGTAAGGGAGTTTGTGTTATCCCCATGAGGTGTTGGAGAAATGAACCATTAAGATAAGAACAGACTAAGCAATGGGATAGTTATAAGGAAGAATGCATGAAGTCTGAGGGATGTGAGTTGGGCCTTAAAAGAAGTTGGAAGCAAGTGGAGTGAGAGTGATCTTTCACACATAAGAGAGGCCATAAGTTATTTCATCATCCTGCCATTGTATGTGGTCTTTTCACAGTATGTCATGGTGGTAATAATACTTCTACTCACTGGACTAAAATCATGTGTTTTGTCTTTTAACAGGAGTGTGACCAGGTACATGTGGAAGATGTGGCTTCTGATGACAATGGCCAAGACTTGAGGTGATAAAAGATGTCTTGACTATCCAAACACCTGTTATGTGCAAGATACTGTCTAGTTTCAGAGGAAAACAAAGATAAATAACATGTGAGGGGGGGCCGACCCATGGCTCACTTGGGAGAGTGTGGTGCTGACAACACCAAGTCAAGGGTTAAGATCCCCCTACGGGTTATCTTTTGGAAAAAAGAAACGTGAGGGTACTTCAGAAAATTCATGGAAAAATAGAATTGAAATATAATATAAATCTTTCCATGAGCTTTTTGAAGTACCCTTATATAGCTCTAAAAGAGCTCATAATCTATTAGAGGAGACAGGAACAATCATAGTTAACCATGACATACAGAGTAAGAAGGTTCTCTGTACTGGCCAGCCTCCAAAAAAAAAAAAAGAGTGATAAGGTGACAATAGAAAATGTGATGGAACACAGAAAAGAAAGTAATTTTGATGGGGGTAGGTAGTCGGTGGTACCATCAATGGAGAGGCCTTCTCAGTGGAGTAGCATTTGAGCAGGACCTTAAAGAATGGGTAGCAATGATGGGATAAGGAAGAAGCATTCAAAGTAAAGGACATACAAGTTTCTCTTTGGCCAGATTGTCAGTCGGGAGAAAATGTGCTTCCAGACTGGGTAGTTTTAGATGGAAATAAGCATCAGGAGTTTCACCAGGGAAACTAACCATGGGGGTCTGATGGTGTCAGGAATAATCTTAGGGAAGACAGTCTTAAAAGTTGTACTGTAGTGAAACTAAACCAAGGAAGTCTCAGTGGCAAAATGCTTGCTCATTCTCTTCATTCATCTCTTGGTTACTGTCTTTTGGCCCAGTAGCTTTAGCTAAGAATGATCCAAAAATTTATCTAGTTTATATTTAAAGACTTAAAGGAAAAAAAGACTGTCACATCTTTTCATGTTAGTTTTTTTTTTTTTTTTTTTTTTTTTTTTTTTTTTTTTTTTTTTTTTTC